CGAACGCCGAATGGTTCCGGGAGGGGCCTTGTCTTCCCCAGGGTCACACAACTTCCGTTGTCTGAGGGCCACTAAGCTCGAGTCGAAATGTTGCTGGGGACTAGGGAGGAGAGCAGATGAAGGGGACACTTAAGATGGAGGGAAAATGGAGAATTCGCTTGAAGTCTTCTCCCCGGGTCTGCCCGGCACAACACACCAGCAGCCCCTAATATTTACGTCTGGACAATGGGATGATGGTTCCTGGTGCCTTTGCAGTCCCTCAAGGCTCTGGTGGTGGAAGTTTCAGGAGTGGGGGTGAGTCAGGGGAGCCCCCAGCTCCCCCTACCATACACACACACACACACACACACACACACAGCTCACACATCCAAATGCAGATCCCAACCCAGGAAGCCAACTGGATAACTTCCGAGATTTACACACTTGACAGCCACGGTGTGTGTGTGTGTGTGTGTGTATTCTGGGGATTGAACTCGGGTCCTTGCACTTGTGAGGCAGGCTGCGGCACCACTGAGCTAAACCCCTGGCCCTAGCCACTGTTGACCCGCTGAAGTATGTGCTCTCATCCTCGTTTTACACCTGGACAAACAGCTTCACAGAAGTCTGTGACTTCTCAAGGTCACAGAGCTCATAAAGGACAAGAACAGGCTCTGCATGTGACCATTTAGAGTGTAGTCTTAGCGCCTTAGTAACACGTGGGAGTTGTGCTGGGTGCATTTTAGGTGTTCAGTAAATGCCATCTATCAGTAGTGTTGTTATTGCGCCGATTTTATAGACAAAGAGACAGTGGAGAAGAGCCAAATAAATTACTGAGTCTCAAAGCTGAGCCAGAGTGTTTACATATTAGCCTCAGATTCCAACACCTCTATAACACCTAGCATCCCTCATCCATCTGCACAGTCAATTCTCATGAGAGCTGAAGCTTGGAGCTCAAATGCATTCAGTCCTGCCCTGAACAGAGATGACTAGGCTGAGGGTCTGTGAACCCCTCCCAGGTGTGAGAGGCTGTGGGATCCTATCTGCTACTGTGCCCTGCCTCTTTAAAGGAGGGCTTAAGTAGCCATGGAAGGGAAGAGTGGAGTACTTTCTGACCCTGAGGCGGACAGGTTGCTGTCCAGGGCTTTGGGTAGGTGGGAACCCAGACTGAGCTAGGCCCCAGCAGGAAATAATGACCACACCCTCCTCTTCTGCCTCAGCCTGCCCAAGCCTCTCCCATCTGCAGAGGTCTGGAGCGGGAAGCTGGAATGTAGCATCAAGGAACAGGACTTGAGTCTCCCTCTGGCTTTTATCTCCTTGGAGTGATCTGGAGTGACCCTGAATCTCTATGGGCCTTTTGTGACACTGCATCAGTTATATCACCTCTCACCTCAGTTTCCTCATGTGGAAAACAGGGCAGACACCACTATCTAGCCAGCTATTGTGAGATGATCGGGATGGGACCCACCAGTCCTTGCAGGATACCCTAGGTAGGACCTGTGTCTCTCTGCAGGACCTAGAGCAGATGCAAGGCAGAGGCAGGCCACCCACACTTGTGTTTTCTGGATCCCTCTGGACCACATTTCTGGGTTCTCTAGTGAGAAAAGTAACTTCCCACTTCTGAACTATTAGTTTTTGTAAGATGAGTGTGAACAGTACCTAATTTAGGGCTGGGGATTTAGCTCAGAGGTTCTGCGCCTGCCTAGCAAGCGCAAGGACCCGAGTTCAATTCCTGGTACAAAAAAAAAAAAAAAAAAAAAAAAAAAAAAAAAAAAAAAAAAAAA